AGGCCAGGGGAGAATCAGAGCCGAGCTGAACTGAGTATGCAGACCGTGCAGCACTGAGTGAGAACTGGGCAACCCCAGGGCCTTAGCTTGGCGTTGGAGGCACAGGGAAACCCCACCTGGGGAATGGTGTTGGGGGCACAGGGAAACCCCGCCTGGGGAATGGAGTGCCTGAGATGGCAGCTTTGGCCAAATAGCACTAAGAGTGACTTGATTAAAGTGTTGATTCATGGACAGTCACACATTTTCAAGTATGTATTGGACACCTGCTGTGCAGGCCTCTGGGGACCCATGTAGTCCTGACCTTCCTCCTGTGTAGCTGTGACACCAGTAGCTATTCAAAGGGCCCTAGGGACAACCCAAGTACCTTCCTGTCGTTGTCAGTCGGCTGTGTGTTGGAGGAACATTGTACACAGGCCTGAAAAGTTGGGCCCTTGCTGATGCACTTTGATGACTTAAGCCTCATTTTTGCCCACCCTCCCCCCATCAACCTTGTCTGAGGTCTTTTGTGTTAGGAAAGGAAGTGTGTGGCTACTGGCAGGTTTTAGGGTTGAAGCCCTGTGGTTATGCCTCCTATCCCCAGCTACTGCTTGCCTGGAGTGAGCTGTGACTTGAGCTGGTTCTTGGCCTGGGATCTTGAGGCTTGTCAGTGAGGGCCTTCTAGCGGACTGTAATTGGCAGAAATCTTCAGCTGTGAACATCACCTGATAACCAGATTATTAACACCAAACAGGGTCTGGTCTGGGAGCAAAGCCAGCAATTGAGCTCTGATTCCAGGATGCTACTGTCTGTCTACTGGATTTTGTATGCATTGCCTCCCAGGGCCTTACATCCCTTCTGTAAGGGAATATAGTATTCTCTTCATGTTGCAGTTTAAAAAACTACAGAGCTAGTTCCAGGACAGCTAGGGTTGTTGTTACACAGAGAAACCCTGTCTCCAACATGCTGTGAGACCTCTTCATTTCTCTAATAGCCCATAATTAGATCTGCTTGTTAGGAAAGGGCAGGACCTAGAAGCCAGAAAGGCCAGTTCTGGAGTCTTGAGTCCCTGATGCTAGTCATCTTGCTATCATCTTCCTAGTGCAGTAGGATCCTGTGGTTAATGGGGCTCCAGCCTCCCCACTCCGTCTGCCTAGTACAAATGAGTCGCTAAACCTCGAATTCTTGGGATGAAATGGCACAGACACTGGAATGTGTCTGACACAGTACCTGGTACACAGGCTCAGTCGGTACTTGAGATTAGCCACAGCAAAGTATAGGGGAGGGAGGCCCAATCTTTGAGCTGTACCATGTGAGTGCTACAAGCTTGCAGTGAGCATTCATCAGGAGTCCTTTGGTTGCTCCTTTATATCATTTCACAAACATGGGATCCATCTATGCATGTTATCAATACATCATACCTGTTTCACAGTAAGATCCTAATATTTCTCCATGAATCATCCTCTGGTCTTTTTCCAGCCTAGGATGCTCCCAGGGTGTCTAATCTTACTTACCTCCTGCACTTGTAGCTTATTATCATGACTCCACCTGTACCTTAGGTTCCAGCCTAGGAGAAATACTATCTTCCCCCAGAACTTCTTCCCATTCCTGATACTCCCTCAGTGAACTCTGCTGCTGAGCAAGTCTTAGTGAGGCTCCCCGGGACCTCCCCATTACCTTGATTATGTAATATTGGGATCGCAGTGGCTCTGCACTGCTGAGGATGATTTCTCTACTTGGACAGTGACTGTGTTCTGAGAGCAGGGATTGAGTCCTGTGTGTCTCTGTCCAATGCTGAATTGACTGTCTGAATAGATGTGTGAACTGCACAGTTTAACAGATGATCATACTCTGCCAGTTGCTGGGTTCGTATCTTAGTGTGTGCCTGAATCCCTTGTAGGCTCTTAGCTCCTGAGTGTTGTGTTCTAAGTAGACCCTTAGCCTGCCCCCCTTTTTGTTAATTTATATGGTGTGCGTGTGTGCACATGTGCGTGCACAGTAGGATTTTCAGGTTTCCTTTCCTCTACCTTATTCCTTTGAGGCATGGACTCTTTCTGAACCTGGAATACTTGTTTCTACTTAGGTGGTAGCCAGAAAGCCCTAGTGGTTCTTTTTTCTACACTCCACTCAATGTCTGGATAACAGGTACATACAGGACAAGACCATGCCTGGCTTAGTACATGGATAGTGGGATTTGAACTCGGTTCCTCGTGGTTGCAAGAGCAAGCACTCTTTACCTGCTGAACCAACGTCTTATTCCCATTTGTTTGATTTTTTTGAGACAAGGTTTTACTGTGAGATCCAGACTCATGATCACTATACCTCTGCCTCCCCATACTAGAATTATAGCCATGCACCACCGTACCTAGAACTTTAGTGATTTTATTGTTATTGTATTCATGGGTAAATTCTTAGTCACAGGACTTGAAGTTTTGGGAGAGTTAGGGTAGATCTGTTTTTTCCCTGGTAATATGAAGGCTGGGCCAGATAGTCTCAGAAGCATAAAGGGAGCCATCAGTGATATTGGAGTGGATTAATCTGGTGGCATTCTGGGACTGTATTATGTACTGGCTCTCAAGCCAGTTTCTTCCCACAAGTCAGTATCAGTTTCATCCCCTACAGCCTTTCCCATCTGCCTCTGGGAACTCCAGTATATCTAGAACCACCAAAGAAAGTTTAGCATCTCCAAGGTGTCTTTTCTGCCCACAGGCCAAGTACCTGGCCCAGATCATTGTGATGGGTGTGCAGGTGGTGGGCAGAGCCTTTGCCCGGGCTCTGAGGCAGGAGTTTGCAGGTAAGCCTCTACCTCTTTGCATGCTGGGAGCCCTGTCCAGTTTAGATTTTCCATTAAGAGTTGTGTCAGTTGTGAATGAAGGGATGGCCTGGAGTACTTTCCCATGGTAGGAGGCATGGTTAGCATGAGTGTCCAGGGCAAATGGGCCCTTGGGGCTGTCTTATTTTGTTAAATAAGAGTCACATATTCTGACTGCTTTCAAGGAGAGCTGAGTAATTCCAACAGACTAATTGGCTGCAAAGTTAGTGTTTATTTATCTGGCACTTTAGGAGAAAGTTTGCTGGCTTTTGACTATAAGGTCACCAAAGGAAAGCAGTCCCAGGGGTGGTCTGCTCTGACAGTCTGGGCACTGACTAGGCTAGGTTTTGAGGTCTCTGGCACCAGCCAAAGCTCCTCCCCCTGCATGTAGCTTTATCCTAGTCTCCAAAGTAGCTCCCAATTTGCTAGACCTCTGACAAGGAATGAAGGGAGGAAGGAGGGACAAAGTCATCTTGTGGTCTAGATTGAGGGACCAAGAGCCTAGTTTGACACTATCCTATCCTTCAGTGTGAAATGTTTGCCCCTCCCCTCCAAAAAGAAGCCAGTACTAAAGAAAAGCCACTCCTGGGCAAATTGTTTCTTTTGTGTCACTTAGAAGGCCTGGGGGAAGCTCTGGGCCACCAAGGGGGCTAAGCAGTCACCAATGTGTCTACAGCAAGCCAGGCAGCCGCTGATGCTCGGGGTCGAGCTGGGCACCAGTCTGCAGCTGCATCCAACCTCTCCGGCCTCAGCCTCCAGGAAGCCCAGCAGATTCTCAACATCTCCAAGCTGAACCCTGAGCAGGTCCAGAAGGTGAGGCGCCTCATCTGCCATGGGGCAGTGCTGTCCAGGCAGTCACAAATACAGAGACATGGTATCTAGCTGTAGCAGCTGAGCCATCCCACATGGTTACCTGTCTTTCCCGTACCCTTTTGGTCACAGCAACTTCCTGTGTGACAGTGTGGGTCAGAGGTCAAGCCCTTTTAATTCCTCGTGTTATCAGCCTTCCCTAATGTCTCACCCAGAGCCTAATGTTCACTGTCTCATCTCTGCAGAATTATGAGCACCTATTTAAGGTGAATGATAAGTCTGTGGGTGGCTCCTTCTACTTGCAGTCAAAGGTGAGTGCTCTGAGGAAAGAAGCCACAGGCTTCCTCTTCTACCCTGGGGTGCTACTTAAGTGGTTTGAATCTTGGCAGTCTACTGTCCTCTGGGGAGGTTGTTAGGGCCTGGGACAGGAAGGGGAAAGGTCCTCCATTCAGGCAAAGAGCAGAGACTGTCAAGAGCCTAACCTTCCTCCTCCTCCTAGGTTGTCCGTGCAAAGGAACGCCTAGATGAGGAACTCCGAATACAAGCCCAGGAAGACAGAGAGAAAGGGCAGATGCCCAAAACGTGACTGCTGGGCACTCCCCACCCCACCCATTGCCTCATAATTTATAGCTTGGTAATAAATGGCTTTTCCATGCTTCTCCAGTGCATATATTCCTACTTGAGAAGGTTTGCTCTCTTCCTGCCTGTTTGGGGCTGTAAAAGAGTCAGGCCACAGCCTTTGACAGCCTGGGGGTGGGATGCTGGTGAACAGCCATGTTAGTACACCTGGCCAGGGTATGTCACAGTCTTTTGTTCCCTTCTGTATGTCCTACCAGTACTGAGGAAACCAGAGGGTCTGCCCGTGCCTTCCCTCGAGATAAAAGACCCCCGGAGCCAGAACTTCCAGCTGGGGCTGCATACTGCTCTCAGTGACTTGTATGTAGCTGAGGACCACTGGACCACGGTGTCAACCAGTCACAGCAGACAGTGGCAGATCAAGGCCTGAACCTTGTAGTTCAGAATAATCTGTATCCTCTTGTTCCTTACTAACTACCTTTCTAGTCTGTCTTCTTCTTCTTCTTCTTTTTTTTTTTTTTTTTTTTTTTTTTGTTTGGTTTTTCAAGACAGGGTTTCTCTGTGGCTTTGGAGGCTGTCCTGGAACTAGCTCTTGTAGACCAGGCTGGCCTCGAACTCACAGAGATCCGCCTGCCTCTGCCTCCCAAGTGCTGGGATTAAAGGCGTGCGCCACCAACGCCTGGCGTCTGTCTTCTTCTTTAGAGTGAAGGTAGCCCATGGCAGGTTGAGGGGAAAATCAGGCATTTAGGTGTCTAGTTGGGACACCCACAACCAGACATAGAGCAAGTGACCCAGCCCCTGGCACATCTATTATGCAGAAACCATCTTTGCAACTCACTTTTATTGTTTCTTTATAAACTTCCTCTCACATGGAGGAATATATTGTTATAGTCATTAGCTTATCTTTTTTTTTTTTTAAACTCTATGCTAACAGCAATGGAGCCAAAAGGAGGAAAAACATAAGCTACAATAGAAAGGCACTTAGAACCTGTTAAAATACTGATGTCCTGGAATGTGCAACAACAAACTGACAAGTATACCGGCCCTTGCAAGCCTGGTCTATCACTGAATCACATGCTGAGCTAATGTCACCTTCCAGTGCCCTGTTCCTCTGCTCTTGGGCTTGAGTCTCAAACCCAATCCCCTGGCCAGGGACTTAAGGCCTAGGGCCCTAATGGAGCCAGGAGGTTGCCTGGATCGTGGGTAGACCCGAAGACAGGAGACCAGCTCCTTAACTTGCTCACAGCCCCTTCAAGGGGTAGAGCCAGCACAGCCGAGCCCTATCAGGGCTGGGGTCCTAAGCCCAGCAGTTGGGCAGGTCAGATCAGGTCAGGGTGACCCTTCTGAAACAGAAGGGCAGTCTGGGAAAAAGAATAGGCAGAGCTGATCAGAAGAACCACAGAGCTACTAAGAAGCCCTCCATCATCCCAGCAGCTCCTTTGTTCAACAGATGGTGAGATGAGGGGCTTAGCCACCCTGCAGCAGAGCACAGGAGATAGCAAGAGGCCAAGTTGGTGCATCTAGCCTTTGGGAGCTGTGGAGCACAGTCCTCCAATGTCCTTGACTTACTCTAGCGCTACATAAGTGCTAGACCTTATTTTTAGTATAAGCCCCGGAGGAGCTGGCTTGGTAGAACTTGCGGGCAAAAGAGAGGCACCACCAAGAAAAGGGCTCAACTGGAAAGTCAGAGCAAACAACCTTGTCCATTCTCCAGCCAGCTTTTCCCAAGCAGATGGTTGGTCCTCCAAATGCTGTGCATGGCTGCCTAGCCTCCCTCACACCTAGGGGCTTCAGTTTGTGGTTTCTAGAAAGCTCCTTTCTAATGAGTCAGTGCTTCTCTGCATTCCAAACCTATAGCTCCTCCCCAAGCCTGGTAGTACACCTGGTGTAGACTTTGAGGCTTCTTCAGGATAACACTGCCAGACCAAGCCAAGCTGGACCAGACCAGGACAACATTGCTTTGAACCTGCTTGTACACCCTAAGGAAACAGTGAGTGCTCACTACCCTCATCTAGGAAGTGCTGCCAACCCGCTCAGTGCTGAGTCGGGCAGGAGGGCATCACTGACGGCAGGCTTCTCTGCTGAGCCAGCAGCGAAGCACCTTGTCATAACAGTAGGCAAGGAAAGGCAGCTCTTTCCTGTGCTTGGCCGGGGCCTCTATCTGTCTTGCTTTCCCTGCAGGAGGCAGGCCAGAGGGAAAGGGGTCTAAGGATTCCCAAGCATGGGCTTCTGATCACTGGGGGCCCCAGCTGACAAGTAGGTAAGGTAGGAGGAGTGGCAGCCTGCCCCGACTGCTCATGGAGAGGAGTGCACCACAAGAGGCAGGATGGAGGGTCCTTGGAGGACAGGCAGAGGAAGGCCTCACCCGAACTGTGGCTAGGGAAGTGGTAGTCAGTGAGGCCTTAGCACCCAAGAGCATGGCCTCCTTTGACAGCAGGTCCAAGCCAAGTCCTCACTCTGGAGCCAGGAAGCCACGGAAGACCTAGCACCATCCTTGCTACCCAGCTTGTCTTCCCAGGAAGCAGACACTTGGGCCCCTGGAGCAGTAGGATATTATTGCTATTTCGCAGAAGAGTTTCTGTTCGTCAGGGGTTGAGCCCACATTAGGTAGCTGGGCTGTCACAGCTGGTAGGTGGGTAGTCCAGGTTCAGTTTACCACAGCTGGTTTGAGCAGCACAGACCCTGGTGGGATGACCACCCAGCCAGGAGTTAGTGCCTCTGGACTGCTGGCTGTCGAGTTGCCCGTAGACAGGTCCAGTACAGTGCCCGGTAGCAAGGGGAGTCCGTCAGGGCTTGGCCGGGAGCGGCTGTGCTCCGTCCTCTCTAGGGGAGTCTTGTGGTCCTCCAGGCCCAGGACCCTGGCAGGCACTGACCCACGACCTTTCTCCCCTTCAGCCTTGCTACCAGCAGAACCACCCAGGAGAGAGACCACAGGCAGGCCTAGTCCACCAGCCCCAAAGGGTGAGGGCAACAGTGGGTTCTTGGCCAGATTGAGGGGCAGAACAGAGCCTGGCAGCCCAGGACCCATGCCCCCACTCCCACCTCCACCGTTGCCACAGGCCAGAGCACTGAGGTCAAGGGGGCCAGGGGCCAGGGGTAACGGCAGGCCAGGCAGACTGGGGCCTCCAAAAAGGGCAGCAGGATTGGGGATGATGATTTGAGCCCCACTGACATAGGAGCCACTGTCAGGAGTGGGCAGTGGTGGTTTTGGGGGTGGGCGCAGCTGCAGGAGCTCCTGCTGCTCATGAGACACAAAGTGGCCATGGGCTTTGATGTGCTTGCGCAGTGAGCTGGGGTCCGTGTAGCGCTTGTGGCAGCCAGGCATCTTGCAGTAGTAGGGCTTGTCTACGTAGTGGGTACGGGTGTGCTTGAATCGGTCACTCGAGTTGGAGTAACGCTTGTTGCAGCCCTCGTAGGGGCAGACGTAGGGCTTCTCACCTGTAGGGGGTAGGCTGCATTGAGGGGTCCACCTATCCCCTTGCTTCTCCCAGGCCCAGAGGTCCTGAAGCATCTGACTCTGATTTGTGAGACAATCCCTGCACCTGGCATCAGGCTGACCTAGCTAAGAGCAAGCAACAAGCAGAATTGCTGTGCACCCCTAAAATTCCTTTGCTATATATCCTGTGAACACTGTTGGGCAGAACTCAACCTTGAAGTATGTGCCCATGCAGGCCTGGTCCCTTATAAGCACTAACAATGCTGCCTTGGTCTTTCATGTGGCCTTGCTTAGAATGGCACACATTTTTTTGTTTGTTTTTGGAGACAGCATTTCTGTATAGCCCTGGCTGTTCTAGAACTAGCTCTATAGACCAGGCTGAACTCAGAGATCTGCCTGCCTCCTGAGTGATGGGATTCAAGGCATGCACCACCTTACCTGGCTTGAATCACAAAGTCACTACGCTGACAAGGACAGGAGGCATCTATAACGACTAAGCCTTTGAAGCTGGGTCCAAAAGGAGATGTGCTGTGAGCCTAAGACATACTAGATCTCAAAACTCTGTATGAAAGGAGGGACTTCAATGCTCTGCTGTTTTGTTTTGGTCATTGTTTCTTTTACTTTTTTGAAATGGGATCTCACTGTGTTGGCCAAGATGGCCTTGAACTCCTAGTTTGCCAGGTGATGGTGGTGCACGTCTTTGATCCCAGCACTTGGAAGGCAGAGGCAGGCAGATCTGTGAGTTCAAGACCAGCCTGGTCTATAGGACTACACAGAGAGACCCTGTTTCAAATAAAACAACAATAACAAAACAACAACAACAAAACAACAACAACTCTCCCCTTCAAGCTCCTAGTTATTTGGGAATAACAGACATTCATCACCATGTCCAGGTTTGCTGACATGTTTTTAAAATACTATACACACACACACTCACACACACACTTATATATTGGGCTTCGTAAGATACATAATTACAATTAATTTCACCTATTTCCTTTTGCTTTTTTTATTATGTTTTACTTGCTCTGTAGACCAGGCAGGCCTTACACTCACAGAGATCCTCTTGCTTCTGACTCCCAAGTACTGAGATTAAAGATGTGCGATACCATGCCCAGCTTGCTCTTTATTTTAAAGATTTATTTATTATGTGTATAGTATTCTCCCTGCATGTCTATCTTTGGGCCAGAAGAGGGCACCAGATCTCATTATAGATGGTTTGTGAGCCACCATGTGGTTTCTGGGAATTGAACTCAGGACCTCTGGAAGAACAGTCAGTGCTCTTAACCTCTGAGCCATCTCTCCAGCCTACCTCCCCCCCCCCCCGTTTGTTCTTTTTAATGTAGTGATTGAGTAACTTAAAATGAGCTATGTGGTTCTGTGGGGCTCTGGGTACAAGGAGAGGCAGACCTAGTCTGCCAGCCCTAAATTGGTGTCAGATGATCATACCCATCTAAGGGCTCCCTTAGCAAATGGCTTCCAATGTGACAGGAAAGCCACGCCCATAATCCTAGCATTTGGGAGATAAAGACAGGAAGATTAGGAATCCACGGTCATCCTTGGCTACACAGTTAGAAGCCAGCCTCGGTTACATGATATCCTGTCTAAAACAAGGGGAGTAAGCTATGAGCGACGAGATCTGTCCTTCTTCCCGGTCCTTTTCTGGAGCTCCCTAGGCCTCCATGAGGAACTCACCTGTGTGGGAGCGGTTGTGGATCTTCAGGTTCTCCAGGCGGGAGAAACTCTTGTTGCAGGTGGGGCAGCGGTGTGGCTTCTCATTGGTGTGTGTCCGGATGTGGATGAGCATCTTGTACCTGCTCCAGAGAGGGCCCAGGGCACACTCAGCTCAATGGGCACCCAGCCCCTCCCTTCCTGCCCTCACCCTGCTCTCTCACCTGGCATTGAAGCCACGGCCGTGGCGGGCACAGCCCTCCCAATGGCAGCAGTACCGAGCATCCTGTTCCGGCTTGACATGGTGGTCATTGACATGGTCAACCAGGTCTTGGAGGAGCTCAAAGAGCTGGTTACACTGTAGGGCCAGGCAGGCAGGGTTCTGATCCCAAGTAGGGTGCTGGCCCAGCCCCCACCTCTCTTCCCAGCTCCCAACTCACCTTGGCCCATCGACACACAAGCTGCTTGGCCAGGGGCAGCTCCGGGGAGAGGCACTTGTCCTTGGTGGGTGTGAGGAAGGAGGAAGCAGGTAGGTGCAGAGCTCCCCCAGAGCCCAGGGGCAAGAAGAACTGGAAGGAGCTGGGAACACCATCCAAATAGCGAAGCGGCTGAAAGTCCTATGGAGCAAGGGTCAGAGCTGGTCAGGGTACCCCATGGCAGGCCCCGATCCCCCACTTTTTGTGTTTTGTCTTTCTCTGTGTAGTCCTGGCTGTTACTCAGAGGTCTACCTGCTCTGTTTCCCAAATGCTGGGAATACAAGTGTGCACCACCACCACCAGGCCAAACCCCTCCCTTTTGCCCTCCTGTGGACAGTGTTAAATTTTATCAATACAGCCAGGTGTAGCACACCTTTAATCCCAGCACTTGGGAGGCAGAGGCAGGCAGATCTGTGAGTTTAAGGCAGCCTGGTCTATATAGGGAGTTACAAGGACAGTCAGGGATATGCAGAGACCCTGTCTCAAAACAAAAACAAAATGGTATCAGTTCAAAAGACACCCTGAATACTAATCCAAGGCACCCGAGTATATCACCTTGTTTGGAAATAGTCTTTTTAGGAGTAGTTAGTTAAGGTGAGGGCCTACTGCAGTAAGGTGACTCTAAATCCAACAACTTATGTCTTTATGACAAGAGGGAGGCCTGGACACAGACATGCACACACAGGAGAAAGAGTCAGCTGAAGATACAGGCAGTGATGGCACATGTAGTTACTGGCCTGGGAATGAATGCCAAGGGCTTCCAGAATCTAGACCAACAAGGAAGGAGCCTCCCCTGAAACTTCTTAGGGAGCATGGTCCTTCACCATCTTCACTTCATAGTTCCTAGAACTGAGAGAATTCCTTTCTCTTGTTTCAAACCACCCAATTTGGTGGCACTTGCCAAGGAGCCCTAGGAAGCCAACATACCCGTTCCTCTAGAACCCTCCCCCTCCTTACCACAGCGGCAGGCAGTGGAGCCAGGTCCCCATTGCCCTGGCGCTCAGGGGACAAGGGGCTGCTGCCATTTGGAGAGTCCAGTCCAGATGGTGGTGACAAGCTGAGGTCTACCAGGGGGGCTGTGGAAAAGCGTCCATCCACCTTCTCGGGGAACTTGGGGTTCAGCAGGAAGCCTGAAGAAAATAATGTTCAGGGAGCTGACTAGAGTCAGGGGACCATGTCCCACCACTTCTGGATCCCTGCCACCACCTTTGACCCCCAGATATCCAAGGAGCAGCCAGGACAGTGATAATGATGACATCATCATCTTGTCTGACCTTTACCAGGAGAGCTGGCTGCCAGAAACAGGAAATGGGGCTGGCATAGTGGGTGGTTCTTACCCATAATTACAACACTCAGGAGGTTGAGGCAGAAGGATCAAGAACCTAATGAGTTCAATGCCAGCCTGAACTACATGAGACCATCTCAACGACAAAAAGAGAGAAAATTATAAGTACCCATCTTACAGATGAGACTTATCTGACACATGGACTAAGCAGTATAATTGGAACTGGAACACAAGACTACTTTACTCCCTATCATATTCTGCCTCGACATTCCTTTCTGTAAAATGGGAAAATTGGTATGTGCTGACTCTTCTATCTCAATCCAGTTGAAGGCACAACAGATGAGGTGACTATCACCACACTAGGTGGGAAGCAGAGCATCTTTAAGATACATTTGCTGTCTCTGTCCCCAGTCACCACCCAGTGTAACCAGACATACAATCCCAGAGTCCAGAGACACAATCTTGGGACTATTGCTGCTGATTTGGCCCCTCTACCTCTTTCCAGATCCTCCCGCAGGCCCTGACTGGAGCTAGCTTTATGTGCCCACTGAGTAAATTGGGCAGGTCTCATCCATTCACAGGACGACAGACAAGCATGGATGTGGTACTCTCAGGCACGGTACCTGGTGGGGGGGAGCCTGGGGAGCCAGGTGTGGGGCTATCATCCACCAGGCCCAGCTCCCTTTGCAAAGCATGATGCCGGGCCACACCCAGTGTCCTCTCCCGCTTCTCTCTCGCCGCCCGGAGCTTGGTGATGCTCAGCTTTAGGTCAAGCGGCTCGTCCAAGGAGTGCATGGTGATGGGGAGGGTCAAAGAAAGTACCCAGCTGGTCTTCAGGCAGGAACCTGGGGAAGGACACAGGTGACACTGTAACCTTAGGTTTCTCCTTCAGCTATACCCGTTAAAACTCAAGCAGAGGAGTAGAAACAACACCCTGAATGGTCTGGGTCATATCATGGAGAGTCAACATCTACCTAGTGCAAGATTCCACTGCCACTCCCCATAAGCCTTTTGGGATAGGCCAAGTTTATGGTCTCCATTTAATGTTGAGAATAAGTGTTAGAAACTGGTCCCAGTTGGGCATTGGTGATGCACACCTTTAATCCCAGCACTCGGGAAGCAGAGGCAGGATCTCTGTGAGTTCAAGGCCAGCCTGGTCTTCAAGGAGAGTTCCAGGACAGTCTCCAAACCTACAGAGAAACCCTGTCTCGGCCCAAGTGACGGAATTCACAATCTGGCAGAACATCTCCCAGGAACTAGCTGGCTAAGTCCCAACTGTCACTTCTGATAACATGGGAAGCTATGCTTGGGAAGCCTGCTAGTCTGAATACAGAGACCTAAAAGCAGGCTGGGCAGCAACAAGCATCCTCCAAGATGTAGGTGCATTCCTCAGCGACCAAGTGAGCACCCAGAAGTGCCTGTCCCAAGACAAGCAGGGTGAGGGCCTGTCCTAGGCATGCTGTGCAAAAGAAATCTTGGCCATGAGAGTGGGCGAACAAGCAAGGAACCTCTCAGGTAAGGCAGAGAAGTTAGACCTTCACAAGCCACCAGGGGGCAGCTGGGGACTGTGGCCAGGCCAGCTCTACAGGGTTTGTTGGAAGGACCAGCAAAGAACAGTATTTAAAAAGAAAAAAACTGGTAATAATTTTCTTTTAATTTCATACTATGATATTCCTCCTGTTTCTACAGTTTCTCACTGGTGGAGTTTTCACACGTAAAAATGGATGCACAAGCCCACTGACCTAAAAACAAAGCCAGCTCTTCCTTCCACACTAAACTCATTTTTCCAGCAGTGGTCTCCCCACCCATGAGAAACCTCCTACTTGTTTCCCCAGCCTTTGTCTTGCAGATTGTCACACCTTGGAAATCTTTTTACTAAACAACCACACTATGAGACTCTACCACCACATTTAATATGAAAAGTGACATAGCAGGAGGAACGGAAATACTTGGGGCAGTTTATTGAGTGTGTCCTTGGGGGCTTGTGGACTACCTGTGGAACCAGAACTGAAGTGCCCTTACAGGGTGAGCAAGGCGGAGAGGGCAGCCACTGTGTCCCAATCCATCTCCTCTCCAGGCCAAGACTCTAGGGCAGCTTCACCTACGTGGCCCTCACAAAGCTTCCCATTGACCTCCCACAAGCTAAGCCTCAGGGCATCTCAGGGCATGCCCTGGCACACAGGATGGTCCTCCCGTCCTTCACCTGAGGTACTGCTTGTGAGGACACATCCCAATCCCCACTACATGTGGCTCCATGGGATCTGGACACAGAAGGCTACATCACTGGAGCACAGGAAGGCCCTCTTGACTGTAAGATTCAGGTCTGCAACTTGTCCTCAATGAAGCTGTCAGATGCACTCACTATAGCTCAAGCCATGCCTGGACAGAGGCCCTCACTGACACCCTGGTGACCCTCTTAGGAGTCTCAGTCCCAGGTAGGTGGGTTGGTGACAGTGATGGGTAGCCTTGGGCCACCATCCATTTCTGTCTAGGCAAAGGCTGCCCTCTGCTTGACCTGCAGCCCATTATGTCTGTCTGTCTGTCTCTCTACCTGTTTATTTTTAGACATAGGCCCAGTCCAACCTCCCTGAAGCTGCTCTATGCTGGGAGCCTGGAAGGGGAGGAAGGAAGTAAATATTTATGCTGATTAAGAATTCAGGAGCCAGGAAGGGCTGGTGGCCTGGTCCCTCTTCTGGCCCAAGGCCACAGGCCTCCCTGCCCCCAATGCCCACCATGGAGAAAGAAGACCACTGGCAGGATGCCTGAGCTAGAAAAACCAAGTGCTGACTCCCAGTCAGTGCCAGCCACGCTAAGTATCCTTTGGCACCTGCCTCCTGTTGTCCCTCCCGCCAGAGGGAGCCTAGGAGGAGCTGCCGGCCTGTCACCTGGTTTTGAGGTCCTTCAGGAACAGCGCAGTGTTCACCTAGGGCTGGAGAAGGCGGGGCAGGAGCCCATCTCCCTGGGTGGAGCACCCATAGCAGGAAAGGGGACTCCTCTCCCACCATCAGCCGACCCAGTCTCCAGGGACTTCCCTTCACTTCCTGTCCTTGGGTTCTGCCCAGGGAGGTAGGGGTTCATTCTTCGAAGCCAGAACCCAGCCCAGGCGCCACAGCCCCTCCTGGGAGAGGAGGAAGGAGCCGCCCCAAAGAGTCTAGCTAGTTTTCCTACCCAGAGCCCCCCCAAGGATAGACGGCCTATGACCCCACTCATGCTCTGACCTTGGCCAACCTCAAAGTCCCGCCCAGCTCCCATTCTCAGCCAGTAGCAGCCAGTCTGGGCTCAGCTTTGCTCTTTGTTAGAGCTAGGTGAAAGGGGCAAGTGAGTCTTCTAAACGGCCTCCGCAGCTCAGCCCTCCACAGCTGGCCCAGCAGCACCAGCCAGACTTAATGCTTAAAACAAGGACAGTAGGGGCCTGTGACCCCGAAAAAGTGAAGCTGCCTCCCTAGCCAAGACCTGGCTGCTTGCCCTTAGAGTTCTGGAGATCAGTAGGTCTCAGGGAAGCTAGTAGTCCACAGGGGCAGGGACCTCACCTCTCCCAGCCAAGTGTTCACGGGTGCCATGCCAAGAGGTCACTGTCATGACCTTGCTGGGAAACCACCTAGGCCTCAGTTTCCCTACTGGTCGGGATGGCCCAGTGCCTCATACCCTGTTCTGGCGGCGGAGCTGTGATCATTGATTGGGGAGCAAAGGCTGTGCCTTGGAGAGCTCACTCCCAGTAGGCTGGGCGCCCACGACACACCCACCTGCATGGACTCGAGAGGGGAGCCCCTATCAAGGTGGTCACATGGTCCAGGCCCCACGAGGCTCCTCCAGCGGCAAAAGGAACTAATTAGAACAGGGAGCTGAGGAAGCGGTGGTAGGAGAGGAAGCGCAACAGGGGGCCGGCTGAGCAGGGACCACCGAGGCGGCAGGGGTGGGGACAGCCCTCCCACAACCTGGGGCGGGGTCACCCTGGGGTGGGCTGGGCACCCCCCCTTGGCCAGCCACGCCAAGACAATGACTGCTATTGTGCACCAGCAGAGACCCTGTGCAGACGGCCCCCAGCTGCAGCTCCTGCAGGGCACCCAGCCCCCACAGACCTATCTGCCACCATCCATCCCTCTTGGGGAAACAGCTTCAAAGTCACCAAGCTAACAGAAGGGGACTAAAACCCTGCTCAGGATGATGTCCATCCTTCTGGGTCTGAGGAAGGGTATTTGGTTGGTCTTGGGACTGGAGGGGTGGGGGTGGGGCTACCTATGCTAGATAGTCCCTTAATCCCTGCCAAACGTTTAAGGACATGGACTTCAGCAAGGAGGGGCCTGCATCCTTGCCCACCTACCTCACAGCAGCGTGGCTAGTGTGACAAAGAATACCCCATCCCACCAGGGGTAGTCTTGAAACTGCTCATTTGGTGAGCTATAGCCAAGTATCAGCCTAGAACTTGAGAACAAGGGCCCAAGATGCACCTCTCCATGCAGGCAGTCATGGTGGCACATGCCTATAATACCAGCATTTGGGAGATGGAGACAATTAGATCTGTAACTCAAGGTCAATCTGGAACAAATGAACATGCACACGCACACATATGCACACACGCAAGTCTTACTGAACAAAAGCTAAAACCAAGCCCCTGGTCTCCTTTCAACTGTCAGCAGCCAGGCCCTGAGGCGTGAGTACCTCCAAGTCTTACAGACTGGGATCTGAAGGCTAGGGGGAAGTACCTGCTCCAGGTTGCAATGATGGGTGACAAAACCAAAACCATGGTGCCTATCACAGTGACTGCCCCAGTCAGTGGCTGACGGACCAGCATGCCAGCATCTATTACAGCAGGCGATACTTCATGCCACTTTACAGATGCAAAAAGTGAGGCTCAGGAGGTGACCTGCCGTGGGTCACAGGGCTTGTCACTTCCTCCTGTGTCTCTGGACTTGCTTAGGCCGGTCACCACCTCCCCATCCAGAGGCTTATGGTGCAGAACCAGGAAAGGCAGCGAGTAGGCAATGGGTGGGGACCACTGAAGGGAATGACAGTGTCGGGGGCCACCACCAGAAGGCTGGGAGAGCTGAGGCAGCAATGCTGCCAAAGCAAACTGCCCATAACCCCGCATTCCTGGGAACCGGCTGTGCTCCCTACTCTGGCCAAGAGCTCCACCCTCCTTGGCCGCCCAGAGGGAGGCTGGAAGGCAATGGCAGGGACAGGACCTCTCAGGGCCCCCTTCCCAACCAGGCAGCAGGCAGGGTTCCAAACATGGGTCAGACCACATGGAGCTCCAACCCTGCTCTGATGCTTCCTGCCATGTTCCCTGACCCCCTCCTCCTCTTTCCTACAGTGAGATGTAATGTTCAACACAGAGAACAGAGTTATACACACATCAGGCACTTAGTAAAATCCATTCTAAGTGTCACCACTGCTTAAGTCCCTAGGTGTACAAGGATAGTCCTTAGGGGAGACTAGCCCTCCCTGTGTACCCACAAACGTTAAGATCTCAGTCCAGACCAGAACTTTGGCTGGCCCTACCTCTTGGAGAGCCTTGGTCCTCTACTACCCTATGGAGTGACCACAGAATTGGGGGGGCACCCACCAGCAAGAAGCCCTCCCCGTGGAGGCTGACTGAGCACTAAGAGGCCCTGGAAGGAGGGTGCAGTGGCCAGAGGCCTCCTAAGGCCTGGAGAAGTAGCCAGAGCCACTGCTCTTCCTGGAAGGGCTGGGTTTGCCTTCCTTGGAAACCATGCTTAGGTGTGGGTCCCTCCCAGTCCAAGAGGGGCCCCCAGCGTGCATATACCACCTCAGTAGAAACTCAGTGTCCCCAGACAACCAGTCCTGATCAGGACTGCGAAAGGACAGTAGGGACTGGCTGAGCAGC